TTATTATTATTATTATTATTATTATTTTCACGGCCCCGAAATTTCTTATTTCACAGCACAAAGAGAGCCAAACAAAGAGAGTCCTCAGCGTGATTTATTTGCCTTATTCCTGGATAGTCAAAGAAAATGGATACGACACAGTATGAAGCCAGTCTCAGGGAAGGAAATATAAATATATTGTTGGACTTGCGACCACGGGACCACTGAGGGGGGACTTCACGGAAGCCCCGCTGGCTCCAGAGGCCGGAACAGGGACTGTTCCCTCTAAGCTGAGTCAGTGTGAGCTAGCTCACAGTTTTTTAGCCTCCGGCTCACACGTTTCTGTCTCAGCTCGGGGAGGAGGGCTCCAGAGCAGACTAATTTATGCAGTAGCCAAATCGCCTGCTCACAGCCTTAATGCCAGGAGCTCACAAGGTAGAATCTTTGCTCGCAAGACTCCACAGCTTAGAGGGAGCATTGGTCGGACGCATGAAAATGAGAGGCCAGGAGAGGAGGTGACGAAATCCCCTTTTCCTTAGCGCAGGTTTCTGGCCGCTGCAAGCGAACATCCCAGTCGCTCTGTCGATTTGGGAGTCACCTGCCAACTCCTGCCCGCCGGCAGCTCGGCCCAGCTGGTGTTCCTACGGGGTGCAGCCGCATAGCAACCGTCATTCGTCATCCGGCGCCCGTGATGGCAACATGGGGAGGGGGGACGAGCAGGGAGGAAGCGAAGCAGGTGTGTGTCCCTAAAGTTGCTTATCATCTGCATGCTCGAAAGAAAGCTGTGTTCTCTCAGACACTCGTATCTGCCTCAGTTTCCATTTCTTTCCTCCTGCCTGAGAACCAAACCCAGGATTCGTTATTTTTGCGCTCTGGTCTGTTTCCTTCTGCTCAGGGGTCATTTCGTAGAAAAAGAGGTGCAGGAGCTCATTAGCATAACTTGTTTGCATAGGCCACACCCCCTGACATCACCAGAAGTGTGTCAGAAGGCAACACCCACCGCTCAGGCTCCACTGGACTCTTTTGGCTTGCTAGCTACTGGGGGGGGGGGACGTGCAGATCTGTCCTCGCAGAGGAGGGAGAGCTTGTACCGGAATAAAACTTGGTCTTAAAGGTCCCCCTGGTCGGGGTCTTTTGTGGCCGGGGGGGGGGGGGGGGGCTCTACAGTTTACCTGGCTGCTTCGTGCTCTGACTGAGGGCTGCTGGGAGCAGGGGGCGGGGTTTGTTGCATGTGCCCACCAATGTTCCCTCTAAGCTTTG